TCCTGCTCAAGGAGCAGGTGGCAGTTGTGGCCAGGAGGGCCTTTGCCCACCTTTGTGTGGTACTCCAGTTATGCCCTTTCCTGGATCAGGAGGCTCTTTGGTCAGTCACTCATGTCCTGGTCATCTCTTGGATAGACTGTTGCAATGTGTTCTATATGGGGCTACCTTTGAAGAGTATCCAGAAGCTACAGCTGGTTCAAAATGCAGCCGCACGGACAATTTTGAATGCCCCAAGAACAGCACATATAACACCTTTACTGCGCAAGCAGCATTGGGTCCTAGTCTTCTCCCAGGTCCATTTCAGAGTGTTGGTTATCACCTTTAAAGCCCTACATGGCATTGGTCCAGGTTACCTGAGGCACCATCTCACCCCCATCACATGAACCCGTCCCACCTGGTCAGGCAGAGAGGGCATGTTGTGGACCCCATCAGTGAGAGAATGTCAGCTGGCGGGGCCCAGGAGGAGAGCCTTCTCTGCTGTTGCTCCCACCCTTTGGAACATTCTCCCCCCAGAGGTGCAGCAGGCCCCTACCCTCCTGGCCTTCTGGAAAGGATTAAAGACCTTCTGGAAAGGATTAAAGACCTGGCTCTGCCAGCTTGCGTGGGGTGATAACAATATTACCCAATCCTGGGGGTGGCTGGCGCCTTGATGATGCTCCCTGAGTGACTGCCAATTATTCTTGGATCTATTCATTTTCTATTTATCAATAGTAGATTGTAATTTTGTAATTTTAATTGATTTTAACTGTTTTGTAAATTTCCCAGAGTCATTTCTACGAGATGGGAGGTGACAAATTTGATATATAAATAAAATAAATTAAAAAACACACTTTGTTTACTGAATGTTGCTATTAAGTGTAATATATTTTCTAACCATGTTGTATTCATAGCTGAAAACGAGAGATTACCCTCCTTAATTTAGAAAAGGTATAATGCAATAAAGGTTTTTTTTCTCTTTTTTTAAGTATATTTTTTTGAAAAGGATAGTCCAATATGCAGTAGTTGAAAGATAGTTTAAGGAAATGCAAATTGTTCTCTAAATGTCTGAAGACAAATTAAACAGAATGTATCTTAAAGCCTTCTTCTGGAGCAACAGTATGGCTAAAATATTTGTAAGGAATAAATACAATAGTGACCTTTGCAAACTGAGAAAAGTCTTAAGCACCTGACAGAAAGCAGTAGAACTTGTTCTTTCATACAATGTCACTAAATGCAGGTGTATACAGTGATTTATTGGTGATTTATTCCTAATGGAAAATAAGATATGATTGGCTGAATGTACTTGCAGGAATTGTTATTTCATACCAAAAAATTCTTTAGAAATTACTCTGACTGGATTACAGGAACAAATATTTCTCAGTAGCATTATATTCCATGTAGTTGTTTAGCCACTATCTTGGCTTACTACTACTTGTCTTTCTTCATCTAGAGTCGTTGAGCATGAAGAGCTTTTATATATTTCCTTCTTTTTCTTTTCTCTTTGTCATCCAATTTTTCTGTTATTTTTGTTACATCTTCCATATCTTTCTGTTCCCAGTTCTTGAGTTTCTACTATGTAAGGAAATTCCAAAAGCCAGGATGAATCAACTTCGAAGTTCATTATGTTTGAAGGTGGTGAATAACTTCTGTGTCTAGTATTAACTGCCAACTTTGTTTCTTGTTTAACTGATCTGAAGGAGATTCCCATAGGAAGATATTTTTTTATTCCACAATGCTGTGATCTTATTCTAATTTTAGTGAAACTCTTGAAGGACTTTAATAAGATCAAAGCATGGTTTAATTTATTTGGTATTAGGTTAATGCAGAGGTCCAAAGAGAGTTATTTAATTCATCAAGTGCTTGTTCGTGTTTTTCAGTGCCTCTATAGCTTGGCCCCAGCAAAGCTGAAGGATCAGTATCTAAGAGAGATTGCTTAAAAATTGTCAAAGAAGGACAATAGAAGATGAGTTCTGTATGTGCTATGTATAAATGCATATATTTGTTTAAAATATTATAATTAGATATATAGTAATTTGCTATAGTATATCTATATACTAAGGTGTATAGTAAGCTACTATACTATGTTACAATAGATAGTATAGTAAGATCAGATATGCCTCCTTAGCCTGCTAGCCAAGTGTTAGGCGCTTGTTATGATTCCTGATTTTTAAATGTTGTAATGGATTACAATTATTAAAGAGAAGACAGTCCTCTGTAACGAAATATGTACACATAAGATGTAGGGCTATCCTATATCTCCCTGTACCTATGGATGAGTTACTTTAGCTAGATCCTCCTGCACCAGATAAGGTTGCAATTGGCAAACTAGCTAAAGTTAGGCAAAGACCCTCTAACCACGGCTTCCACCTACTGTTCAAGCAGGAGCTATGAGTCCAGAAGGGTCCCCAGATCTCAGACCTGTGTTTCTTGGATAATGCTTGCCCAGACAGAGATAACACTGGCATTAATAGAACACTCTGAACAGCACCTCTAACTTCACTGGGTTCAACTTCAGTCTGTTTTGTCCCATCAAATCCCTTATAGCCACCATGCACTAGGATAGCATGTTGACAGCATTTCTCCTACAGCCCAGGCTGGCTTCATTTAGATGTTAAAGGGCAAGGAAGAGAGGGTCAACCCCTGTGGCACGCCCATATCAGAGCCCAGTGGGCTAACCTCTCATCCCCCTCCTCAACTGAGTGAAACTACCCAATGAGGAAGAAGAGGAATCACTGCAAAATAGTGTCCCCAGTCTGCAGTCCCCGTAGATGGTCCAGCAAGATACCATAGGTGATAATA